GTGCTGGTGTAGGTGGGCGGGGCAGAGCGAGTGCTGGTGTAGGTGGGTGGGGCAGAGCGAGTGCTGATAAGAGAAGGTGCTGAGGATGGCTGGAAAACACAGATATTAAACATTATAAGATATAAACATAAAAATAAACCTCAAAACAGAAAGCTGAGCAGTTTTACATACCAAAATGATCTGGCCTTTGCCGGATACTAAAGTTACTCAAATCTAACATCAAGTGTACTAATACAATGACCGTGTCAATATTTAGGAAACCGAAATAAGACCAAAGTGTCAAAGTTGAGTGTGGAAAACTAAGCCCACCTTGTTGTTTTCAATTCAGGCGCTGATGAGAAAGCGTACTCCACCAAACACCATATCAGCACTAACACCTCATACTGTACCTGTACTTGTACCTGTACCTGTGCATATACTTATCCTGTACCATCGCGCTGTCAAGCTCAATGGAACAAACAACACAGTTCTCCCTCATTTATCGCGGGGGATCCATACCCTGAAGCCCTGTGTTAAGTGAAAAACTGCGAAGTAGAAATAGTAGTACAAGTAGTAAGTAGTAGTTTATTTTAGTATTTATATATACATATAAATAAATATATATATATACATATAAATAAATAAATATATATATATATATATAAAAAGGTGTCTTAAACACTTCCACACTCTTGCAATATAACAATTAATAATAACAATGTTTCTAAATTCTGAAGCTCTAAAACAGCACAGAATGTCATGATCTCAGCTCTCTGTCTCAGCTGCTCTCAGCCACCTGCAAGTGTTCTTGGCCACGCCCACTTCTCCACTCTGTATGCTTAACGGATCTACTGCAGCAGGAAGCTTATCCTGCAGTATGGGCTGCATAGAGGTGCAGCAGGTGCTAAATAATTGAAAAAAAAAAATATATATATATATATTTAAATTCCATGCCAATCGTGCGTCTCATCCATCAATCAGCCAGTTGTATGTCATCCATCCATCCGTTATCTTTACCCGTTTATTCCATTTTGGGTCACGGGGGTCGCTGGTGCCCATGTCCAGCAATCACTGTGCAAGGGGCGGGGTACACCCTGAATGGGTCGCAAGTCCATCACAGGGCCACATAGAGACAAACGAGACAAACAAACGTTCACTCTCTCACTCACACCTAGGGACAATTTAGAGTTACCAATCAGCCTAACATGCATGTTTTTGGACTGTGGGAGGAAACCGGAGTACCCGGAGAAAACCCACGCATGCACGGAGAGAACATGCAAACTCCACCCAGAAAGGCCCCTGGACCGGGGTTTGAACCAGGGACCTGCTCGCTGAGAGGCAGCACCTCTACCAGTTGCGCCACCGTGCAGCCCTCAGTTGTGTGTCATGTCCAATCTTATTTTGAAAAACCGTGATAGAGCGAGTCCGCGATAAATGAACCACAAAGTATCGAGGGACTACTGTAATCCCAAACACTGCAGCAAATCTACAACAGAACAATCGAACAAGAGAAGAATGAAGGTGATGCAATGCTCGAGTCAAAGTCCAGACCTCCACCTGACAGAAATGATGAGGTGGAGCCTAAGAGGGCGGAGCAACAACAAACACCTATAAACCTCACAGAACAGAAGCAACATTGCAAAAGAGAGTGGGTCAGAATTTTTCAGAAAGATGGAAAAAATTAAACCCCAAAACAACAGTTTTTGTATTTTGGCTTTGTTTTTTATTTTATAAGTGACATACATGCATATAGAACTACACTGACACCCCCCCCATCCCCCACTAGAACTACACTGACCCCCCCACCCCCACCAAAAAATCTGCAGTGTTCAACTAGAACAGGGGTCGGTAACCTTTATGATCAAAAGAGACATTTTTACTCGACCTTCATTCACTAAATTAAATGTGTCCAGAGCCGCACCTGCTACAACTGTGATTATCAACTGGTGGCCCATGGGCCACTTCAGGTTTGTTGGAGGAGACTTGTGGTCAGCAGGGGTGACAGCATAAAGCTAAAAATATCTAATGTTTTTTTTTAACATTTGTTGATATTTTAACAATTTAAGACAAATGAAAATATCAGATTCTTGTAAAGAGGGGGTGTATATATATATATATATATATATATATATATATATATATATATAAAACTATGAACTGTGCAGACACGTGATTTTTTTAAATTGTGGGAGAAAAAAAATAAGTATAGAAATAAAGCAAAACATTAAAGGGTATTTGCAAAAGAAATGACAGGAAAACAGCGAAAACTATTGTAGTTTGAATAATAACCAATAAAATTCAGTTTTATGTTTTGGTCAAAAGCTTGAAAGAGCCACTGCAGAGGGACCACATGTGGCTCCAGAGCCGCAGATTGCAGATCCCGAACTAGAACTACACTGACCCCCCGCCACACACACACACACACCTCCCACCTCTTACCACTCCACCCTCCAGCAGCTGTCAGCTTCCCCTGCTGGAAACTTATTATTAGGACCATGAGAGGTCACTGAGGCCATGCTTCAGGGTTAGGGTTGCACTGTGAGCCCACTAAACACTGGTACATTAAAAAATGTTACAGCTACACACAAACCAGGTACGTACCTGGTACTTACCTAGTAGCTATCAGGTACCTCGTACATACTGGGTACAGACCTACTTGATATTTACTTGAGTAGTACCTGCTTATTTGGTACAGGTAACTTCCAATTAGTTGTTAGGTAAGTACCTAGTACATACCGGTTAAGTACCTAGTACATACCGGGTAAGTACCTAGTATATACTGGGTAGTGAATACCACATAAGTACTTGGTGTATAGTTACCAGGTTAGTATCTGATACCTATTTGGCTTGTACCAGGTATGTACCTGATATTTAATGGGTTAGTAGCAGGTATGTATTGGGTATGTATACAGAGTACATACCCAATAAGTACCTGCTCTAACCTAGTAAATACTTGAAACTTAACTGGTGTGTACCTGGTATGTACTTGATACTACTTTGTACATACTTAGTACTTACTTACCAGTTTACTAAGTGGTTCTTATTTAGTCTGTACCTGGTACTTACCGAGTTAGTATCTGGTACTTATTTGGTGTGTACTGGGTATGTACCTGGTACCTATTGGGTTAGTACCTACTTTCCTGGCACATACCTGGTACGTATCTGGAACTTATCCAGTTGTAATGAAAACATATTTGGTAAATCCCTGAAATTTACCTGGTCCATACAGGGGATGTACCTGGTACATGTTCTGTAAGTACCTGTTATGTACCCAATAAGTACCAGGTACATACCAAGTACCTCTAGAGGCTGGTCACGTGTCTAAAGGACCCCTTGTGACTCTGATGTGGTGAACTTTGGTTTTAAAGTTTTCCTTCATGAACCTTTCTAGAATAAATCTGATCTTTTGGGTGAAGACATGTGATATCTAACCCTGACCCCAACCCCGCACCCTGACCCCCACACCCCCCCCCCCCCCCCACCCTGACTCTAACCCCACATGGTCACTATGAAACAGGTCAGAGTACCTCGCCAAATCCAGGAAGGAGTCGGTGGTCTCCTTGTTGTTGCTAACGCTCTCCAGACCCAGACTGTTGGTGTTCAGCGCTCCAGCTCCGACTCCGGGTTTGATGATGAAGGCCAGGGCCACCCCGATCCCCGAGGCGATCAGGGTGGTCACCAGGAAGTAGGCGACCGCGATGCCCCCCAGCTTCCCCAGGGAGCGCGTGTCCAGGCTGGCTGCGCCGGACACCAGGCTGCAGACCACCAGAGGCAAGATGATCATCTTCAGCATCCGGAGCAGCATCTCTCCCGGGAAGGCGAAGTGGGCCATCTGGGCTCTGCTCAGGTTCATGCTCCGGACCATCATCCCGAGCCCGACGCCCACCAGCACCCCGGACACCGTGAGGATCACCAGCAGGTTCCTCCTCAGGAACTCCCGCAGCTTCTCCGTGCAGCTCCTCCGCGCGCTGCTGCGCTCCGCGGAGGCCGAGGTGGGCAGGATCCGGTCCGTGGAGGCCGAACCGGGCATGGCGTGCCCGTTGATCTCGCTCTTTCTCTCCATCTTCTCGTTCTGTGGGGGAGCAGAGACCGGTCCGGGGCTCACTCTGCTGAATGACGGCTGCTGAGCGCGCAGCCAATGGACACGCGGGTCCAGACCGTGGAGCATGCGCACTGAAGCCCATCCTTACAGCAGGAGCAAATGATGCAAGAGTAGGGGAGATTTGCAGGGTCTCTGTGGACACTGGGACATGTGGACACTGGGACATGATGTGGACACTGGGACATCAGAACTCGGAGGACATTAGGCTCCCTGAACTAATCCAACCTCCTGGAACCGGTTCCTTTAAAACACTTTGATCTCCTGAGTCCACACAGACATGCATCAGGAGCATCACGTCCCCTTCACATTGCATCATCTCTCCTGCAGTAAAACCATCTAGAACACAAGAAACCTTCTTTTGGGCTTTTAATATCATGTGGATTATTGCACCATCTTCTTTGAGCAGAATAATCTGGTGCTGTTCTGCAGTTTTCCTCATCAACATGTTCACACATGTTGAGGGAATAAAGCAGCTTGAGAGCCTTTTTGATTTTCCCTCATAAATTGCATTTATTGTATCGTTTTAAAGCAGAGCTAATTATAAGGACAAATTACACATGTTCAGTTTACAAAGCCAGTTTTTGTATGATTTTAGATAAACACCTGATTCTAACGGCGTGGAGGATTTATGGGCTGTAGCTGCACCTTACTTCTCCTGCAGGGGGCGCTGTGGGCTCACTTAGTGTTGTTGTTTTTTTGTTTGTTTGTTTGTTTGTTTTGGTACGCCGCCGCTGAGCTAAAGTAAAGTCTCTCTCTATGGCGCTGACTAAACCTAAACACTTCTAAATTTAAACTTTAACTAAACTCCGAACTGAAGTTTTTGTATTTCAGCGGTTAAAAAAGGCCTTCGCGCTTCCTCCTGCAAGAACAACAGCGCATGCGCACTAAACGTGCTGAATTCTCGCTGCATTTCTCCCTGTGAGCACTAGATGGCGCCACAGTAACATCTGAACTGGGGTTTAAACAGCGTCAACGAGTTGAACACATAAAGAGAATTAAAGGCCAGATATTCTTCAAAGAATGTACATCTCCTGCCGCCATTACTGCCAGCAGCGTCACGAGGTGTCACTCTCAGACTCTCAGCTATTATCTCATCAAATTTTAGCTCAACATCAATTAAATTGACTGATTTTCAGCCATTTTTTGTAATGGTTAACGTTGATTAGCTGTGGAGGCCAACTTGAATTGAACTTTAAACATTAATCATTTGTAGATACATTAATTGATTTTTAAGGTTTCAACAAAAGCTGTTAATTGATTTTCTATTGGTACAGTTATGCCCATGATGGGTGGATATAAACTTCTGATGAGTGGAACCAGCAGTAACCTGGATCTTCACGTGGACTCAGGAGACCTTGGGAAAACCATCGTCATGAAACAACAGCTGCAGACATGTAACTTCAAACAGTTTCATATGAGGAGTAACATATGAAGTTTGCAGAGTTCTGCAGGCTCATCTAAGATGGACAGGAAGATTAAACACATTCATTCCTGAGGGTTAAAATATTATGAATGCTGAGTTGGCATTCAGACTATTGTTTGGCTGGTTTTTTTTTTATTTTATTTTGTACATTTTCTGCACTCAAACTGCTTCTGCATAATTTGTAATATCCTGATGATGCTTAATAATCCAAGTACCGGTAGATAAATCTAACAAGGTTGAGTCAGAGCCTCTGGATGAATTCTTCTTTGTTGAAACGTTTCGTCTTTTATCCAAAAACGTCTTCAGTCTGAGGAGCTGCAACAAACTCAGTTTTATAAACAGCACCTTCTCATAGTGGATCAACAAGTTTGTTGCTGACATCCAGAACTACCTGTTCACATGATAGAGGAAGACCATTACAGCAACTGGTCATTAGTGCCCTGATGGCTGTTTACTGTTCAGAGGGCTGAATGATACTAGCAATCACAGCATTGTAAGAGGGGGACAGTTGAACCCGGAGGCCTCCACCCCTGTTTAATGATGGACGATTTCTTTTCACAAAGATGGCCTCCTTTACTCCTCTCTCAAACCATCGTTCCTCTCTGTCCAGGATGTGAACATCTTCATTCCTGAAAGAGTGACCTGTGCTGGTCCATCCTTTTGACCAGTGGCTGTTTAGTTTCCCAGATGTAAGACTGATCACCCTCCTGACACTGAACAGCATACACAATATTACTCTGTTTGTGCCGGGGGACTGGATCTTTGGGATGAACCAGTCTTTGCCATAATGTATTTATTTGTTTTATTATTATTTTCCTTAAAGAAACAAATTGACATCTCTTCAATTATTCATAAAACATTTTCTCTTCTTTTAAATCTGATTTAACTTGTTTGCTTAATTTTTTGTTTTTTATGCTATTTGTACTTTTTAAGCTATTATTCTGCTATTTTGGGCTTTTCACTAGTTTTTTGGATAATTTTCATTCACCCTTTATTTATACAGGTTAATTCCATTGAGCCTCGGGGACTCATTTACAAGAGAGACCTGAATTTTAACAAAGAGTGATGACAACAATAGACAATCATAAATGATGCGTACAAATTATTATTATTTTTTTTTAAACAAGTTAAAATAAAAGGATAATTAAAAGAAAAAGTAGTTAAAAAACAGCTAGAATGTAAGGCGGTGTAGAAAACTAAAAACAGGAACATGTCTGGACTGGTTTTTGCCAGTAACAAAATCTTTTTTGCCAGGACTTTAAAACAGAGTTTAAAAGCCACTTAGAGAGGTCAAGGTCGAGAGCTTCAGATCTTTTTGTAAGATATTCCAGGAAACGGGAGCGGAGTAGGAGAAGGCCCTTTTGCCTAGTTCAGTCCACACTGAGGAAACACTGCAGGTAATAATGTCCTGAGAGCGCACGCTGTAGCTGCACTCACACAGAGACATGTAGGAGGAGATGTATGAAGGCAACAGACCAAGAAGTGATTTAAAGATGAAAATGTACCAGTGAGAAAGTCTACGTGAACTTAATGATGACCAGTTAGCAGTGAACACAAGGTGCAATGGTGGGTATGATAATCACAGCCAGTTATGAATCTTAGTGCACCATGATAGACAGCATCCAACATCTGCAGGTTCTTGTAGGAGCGTTCATGTAAATGTGGCGTAAAAGTGTAAAAGTGTTCTAGAATTGCGCCGTTCAAGGTGGCTGCATGTAACCATGGCAACAAGGCAGTTTTCTACAGCCAACAGCAGCTGATTAACACCTCAAAAGCTCAAATAATATCTCAACTACAGCCCCAAATCTGAAATGAGTTGAAAGGATGTCCTGTGGATGCATTCTCATCTACCTGCTAGCTGTGCTCAAGTGCCTGACCACTGAGATCCTGGAACTAGCAGGAAACACGGCTCATGACAGGAGAAGGACGGGATCGTCCCTCAACACCTACAGTTGGCTGTCTGCAGCGACGAGGAGCTTGGCAGACTGCTGGGAGGAGTGGTCATCGCACTGGGAGGAGTTCTGCTCTGCATTGGGGTGGTCCTACAGCCCGGGGGAACCGAGAGGCCAGCCGAGTCTGGGTGGACGGATCAGACGACATCTGCAGCCAGTTTCTTAGGATCCACTGTGGGATGGACCTTTACAAGAGATTCTTCCTGTCTACAGCATCAGCATCTATAACATCTCTTAATGAAATCAAGATAACGAGTTACAAAAACAAATAATTTCCCTTTGGGATTAATAAAGTATTTTTGAATTGAATTGAAATAATCAGAGTCAGAGTCAGAGATTGTTTATTGTCATTCGCACCTCATGTGGTACATGTGGTGGAGCGAAATTATGTCCACAGGGTCCCAGTTACATCCAACAATAAAATGTAAAAGAAAAACAGTAATAACATCTAAGATATGAACTAAGAAAAACATCAACTAAATATACACTAAGCACTCATAACATAAAACATTGAACATCAGCACAAACATGAACATGAGTCTGTGTGAGCAGATGAGCACGCATGAACACATCAACATGAAACAGATAAGCAGCAACATAATGTGATTTTTTCACAGTGATTATTTTGGTTAGAGATTCATGAGTCTAACAGCCTCAGGGTAGAAGCTGTTCCTCAGTCTAGTGGTTCTACACTTAATGCTCCTTAACCTCCTGCCTGAGGGGAGTGGGGCAAAAAGTGTGTGTGCTGGGTGAGTGGGGTCCTTCATGATGCAGGTAGCCCTCTTCCTGCATCTGGAGGTGAAAATGTCTGTGATGGTGGAGAGGCTGACTCCAACAGACTTCTGTGCAGCCTTCACCACTCTCTGCAAAGCTTTTCTTTCTGCAGCTGTGCAGCCTCCATGCCACACGTTGATGCTGGAGCACAGGATGCTCTCCACTGCACACCTGTAGAAGGAGGTGAGGACTGAGCTTCCCAGACCAGCTCGTCTCAGCTGCCTGAGGAAGTAAAGTCTATGATGAGCTTTCTTGATCAGGCTGGTGGTGTTGTTGCTCCAGCTGTGGTTGTCATTCATGTGTACACCCAAGTACTTGTAATAATATCACCATAGTCAATGGAGGGAAGGAGATACAAGGTGTTTCCTAGCATTCAAAGTTAGACAGGATCTATTTCTGAAAAAGAAATCCAGTTTAACTTTCAATTTTCTTACAAAGTTTCCCACTTAAAAGCTTCCTTTAAACTAGACCTGATATTTTTTTTATCTCTTCTCTCTCCACATTTACCTCCTATATGCCATATTGTCACTTTTAGTTACTTTTTCACTGTTTTTATTAGCATTTTTCTTTTTTTATCTGGTCTTTTTTTTAATTACTGTTAGCTTTTTCTTGCATTTTGCACTATTCAGATTTTGTATAGTTTTAATTAGCACTTTGCTACGTTTGGCAATTCTTTTGCTACTTTAGTATTTAGCTATTTAATTGCTACAATCAGCTAGACTTTGGTTGCTTTATCTTTTACCTAACCTGTAGCTGCTTTTAGCTATAGTCATTTGTTGCTTTATGTTCTTAACCAGACATTTTATTTATTTTTTTATTTTTTTGCTACTTTTAGATTTTAATTAGCTGTTTGCTGCTTTTATTTAGCTATTCTGAGCTTTTTAAGCCCTTTGATATTTTTAGCTTCTAGCCACAATT